GGCCAGTCCACCCCTCAAGCAGTGGTGGCTGGGGACAGCCTCAGAACCCAAGCCGGTGTGGCGTCCCCAGTCATCCGGTTTAACTCCATCACAGTGGCCTGCCTAGGGGTTCCCCCGCCCCTGGGCTGCCCCCAGCTGCGGCACAGGGCCACTTCCCCGGCAAAACTGCCTGGTTCTCCCTGGCTCCCTGCTCCAGTGGATTTCTGGCAGGGCCCAGAGCGAGCATGGGTGCGTGCGTGGTGGTGTGTGGGGGTGGGGGTGTTTCACTCGCTGCTCACCCAACACTAGGGAAGGTGGGCCAGGATACAGCAGAGGGGTTCACAAATGGCTTGGACCCCGCCCACCCCCACTCACCCCTACCGTGGGAGACTGGGCCTAAAACAAAGCTTAGCCCAGCCTGGGGGAGGGGTGGAAGGGGCTCAGAGGCCCGGGTCGCCCCGCCCCCCATTCAAGTGCTAATGAGCTCCAGCTGGCCCGGGAAGCAGCACAGGGGGAAGACCCAGGCTGGGGGCTGCCGGGTCCCAGCCCACCTGGAGCCTGAGGCCCCCACGAAGGCAGCGTGGTATCCAGAAATCAGGCCTGAAGCCTATCCAACCGGCCCCACACTCTGTGTGCCTCAGTCTCCCCATGAGCAGTGAGCAGCTGCTTGTGGGCGGGAGGGGAGGTTCCCCAGAGCCCCATTCTGGGGTCAGGCCACCTCTAGATTGGGGAGATGCCACTCCACAAGCTCTCAGCTGTGTGTGTGGGAAGGGGGGGGTGTTAGAAGCAGCCCCCTGCTGTGTCACAGTTCCAGGCTTTAGAGGTAGGGGAGGGTTCTCCAGGTGCGATTTCGGGCAGGTATTCTGCCCCATGCCCTGGGGGGCCAGCGAGCTAGATGAGGGGGTTCGGGCAGCACAGGGGGTGGAGCTGGGATTCAAACTCGGCACGGAAGGCTAGCCTTCTTCCAGCAAACACCCACCCAGGGCTTCCAGTGAAAGCCAGACCTGCTCCCCACCACCCATGGGAGCCTGAGCCCAGAGAACCCCCTCCTGCAGGAAGCCCACCCTTCCTGCACCGACACCCTGTCCTGCCGACAGCAGGACAGATGGTCTCTTGGGCATCTCCTAGAGCTGGGCAGAGGGTCTGCACACAGCCAGGATCTTGGGCTCACCCTTCCCACTTCCCATCAGAGGAGGCCCCTCTGCCACCGCCGACTGGGGCCCAGAGCTTCTTTCTTTCCATGTGCACTTAATAAGCACCTACTGCACGCCAGGCCTTTGCCTGGAGACAGAGAGGACTAAGGCCAAAAAATCCCTTTGTTTTTTAGTTTTTTTCCTGGTAAACCTAATTGAGCCCTTACTGTGTGCAGTATCTGCCCAGGCCCGGCCCAGAGCCTTGTGGCCACAGGGTGGCCCACAGCAATGCTTGGGCCGAGCGCCAAGGCCTTGGGGCAACCTTAGTCCCCAAAAGGCCAAAAGGGAACCAAGACAACCAGGGAATGCCAGCCTGCCAGGGGCCTTCCTGTACCAAGCCAGCCTAGGCTGGGCTGACAGTGGGCAGCCTTGCAGGGGGCAGGAAGATTGGGGGACAGCCGCACACACAGGACGGCTAGAACAGCCAGTCTGGCTCTAGAGCAGGGGTTCTCAACCTGTGGGTCACGATCCCTTTGGGGGTAGAAGGACCCTTTCACAGGGGTCGCCCGATTCATCACAGTAGCAAAATGACAGTTGCGAAGTAGCAATGAAAATTATTTTATGGTGGGGGTCACCACCACACGAGGAACTATACTAAAGAGCCAAGGCATGAGGAAGGTTGAGAGCCACTGCTCTGGAGTAGCCCTGCGTTAGTCTCCAAACAGCCTGAGCTTAGCAGGTGGAAGCACCCCCTCCCTGGGCTTGTGCCCAGCACCAGGCTGCAGGCTGGTCAGCAAAAGGACCCACAGGGGGTTAGGGCTGCCTCTGAGCTGCAGTCTAGCCTAGTGGGCCCAAGAAGCAGCCTGAAGAACTCTCCACCCCCAGCACCAGCTCCCTTCCACTCCGGTTCATCAGTAGCCCTACGATGAGCACCCCCACCTGCCTGGACCCGAGACCGTGGCTCAGAGTCTGCCACCTTCCTCCTCTCCTAGCCCCGACCCCACCCCCAAGACCAAGTTCACAGGACACATCCATCATTCTGTACACTGACTAGAAACCCCCAATAGGTGCCGGGCTCCACCAAGGCCACAGAAAGGAGGATGCCACGCTGCCCTGGCCAGCTGTAACCTCTGGTGGGGGTGGCACTAGAGCAGGTGCCGGAGGGGGTCGCTGCACCCAGTCTCAGTGGAGAGAGGACATCAAGAATCAAGCTATCCAAAAAAAAAAAAAAATCAAGCTGTCCTAGGACTGGATCCCTGAGCAGAGTCACAAATAGCCACCAGGTGGGACTGAGTTAGGGGAGCAGCTACAAAGGCCCCAGGGCAGGAGAGAGCTCTTGTATTTACATGCATCTATTCCAGGGGAAGCGCAGTCTCCTTTCTCTGCCAGCCTACCCACACAGTTGATCCCCAAATTGGAGACACTCTACCCCCACTCTTCCTCCAGTAGGTGCCCATCCTAAGACCCCCAAATTCCACCTGGGCCTTGCAGGGAGGGGTATCCCTAGAATAGGGCTGGCATGGGCTCCTCCATGCCCCGAGCATGAAGCTAGGGAAAACCCTCTTGCCACACGCCTGCCAGAGGTGACAATGCCTGCACACACCCCGCTGGCGGGCTCCCCAGGACAGGAGGGAGCCAGTCTGCGGGTGGGGCGGCAGGCGTGGCTGGGGCTGGGGCTGGAAGGGAGGGCTGGCAAGAGCCCAGCCTGAGTCCCGTTGCTTGGACAGTCTCTTCCGCTATGTGGGGCCGCCGCCTGCCCAGCAGCCTGAACTTGCCACAGCTGGGCACCCGCTAACATATTGTACCTGGATGGGGAAGGCTCAGGGTGACCCCTCCCGCCCCCAGCAGCCAAGCAGACTAGGTCCACAATTTCAGGCAGCACCAAGTCAGCCAGCCCCTTGCAGTACACCCTGGGCAAGGTGCTGGTCCCCTCCCCACGCCGCACCCTGGACAAGGCCCCGGTCTCTTTACTGCCCTGCACCCTGAGCTCCTCCCGGTACTCTCAGGAAGCCCACTGTATGGAGGTCCGCGGGGCGGGAGGCTGGGGTGGCCTCCCTGGGCTTAGAAAGGGCTCACTCACCAGCCCCTGTATCCCTGCTGCCATCCCAGGGTGGGAGGGGCTGCCAGGGCCCACCTGGCTGCTCCCGAATCAGAGCTGGGCTTCAAGGGGCAAAGTCAGTGGGATGGGGGAGTGGGGCGGCGAGGGGTCCCCTCTGGGCTCAAGACGGAACTGGCACGGAGCCCCAAGTCTACCTCTGCTCCCCACCCGCTGCCGCCCCACTCCTCCTCGGCGGCCATAATGACCAGGACGCGGCCGGCCCAGCCGTCCGGGGCTGGTACCGGGCCGGCCCCGCACCGGAAGCGCCCTCCCCGGGCGCGGCGGGCGTTTCGCCGCGTCGACACCCACTCGCTGCGGCCTCAAGGGCAGCATCAGCAGAGGCAGGAAGAGCAGCCCGGGAGGCTGGGCCGCGCCCCTTCCCGCCCCTTCGCTTCCTCCCGCAGCCGCGGCTGGCTCCGGAGCGGATGCCATTTTGAAACCTCCAGGGCTGTGCCCCCGAGGCCAGGCCCTCGGGGACAGTCAACAGATGGGCCTCCGATGGGCGGACACCCTGTCCCCCAGCGACAAACCCTGCCCCAAACCCAGCTTTTCATCCGACGCAGATCTGGGGCCGAGGGGCCACCCCCACCCCGCAATCCAGTCTCCATCGCCACAGCAGGGGGAGTCTCCTCCCCGCACCCCTGTCCCCCCGAAACAAGGAAACGCTTGCTCCCGGCGGGAGGATGGACAGGGACTAGCACTGGGGCCACGTCCTGCAAAAGGCCCGCTCGGATGCTGGAGACGTTCTGGCCCCCTCAGCTGGTGCACTCTCACCCTCACCCTCACGAGACCTCAGACCCCCCCGGGACCAGGGCTCTGGCCCAGAGGCCACGTCCCTTTGGCCCTGGGGCGCCCAGACGGCTATCACCTCAGATCAGGGCCGCCCACCCGCAGGGGCAGCAATGTCAGCCCCACTCGAGCGTCCACCGTCTTCCCAGACCCTGGGGGAGGTCAATTCCGGCCCCATCCCCTCACTGGCTCTTACCCCCCAAAGACCCAGGCCTCCCCCACCCTTCTGGATGGAGCTTAGAAACTTGGAAACGCACTGCCAGGGACCCTCCCCGGGAGGGTTGAGGCCTGGCCCCTCCCCCACCCGGCCCTCGGAGCCTCGTTGCTGCCCTGGGGGTCTGCCTAACCCAGCCTGGGTTGTCCCACCCAGGTGCACAAAGGGGTGGAGGGGACAGGGGAGACGTCTAAGGGAGGGCCCTGAGTGGGAGGGGAGGCAGGCCACTGCAGGAGCTGATGCCGGTCCGGGGCACCTGTGGGCAGAGGCCTCTGTACTTTGGGGGGTTCTGCGTGGAGAAAGGGCCCATGAGCAGTTATAAGTCTCCCCGGAGAGGCCCCTCGGGGTGGACACGGAGTACAGAGGTGGGAGTGAGTCCTGAGGAGTGGGTGGGGCCTTGAAAGGGTCCAGGGATGCTCAGGCCCGTATGCATCGATGGGGGCCGGCGGGCAGGCACAGGTGGGCCCGATGGGGTTCTGGGAAGGTGGGGGCTATGGGGGAGTCCGAGAAGTTGGTGAGCAAGGGTGACTGGTCAGGCAGGGTTCTAGACAGCGATGTGGAGGGGCTGGGGGCTGGGCTCCGGATCTGGGGGCTGCAAGGGGTTAGGGTGGGGGTCTGCTGTAAAGTCGGGGCTCTGCATCGGGGGTCTGCAGACGCAGTTTCAGACCCTTACTTGGGGGTCTGGGCCTGAGTTCTGGGGCGGGCCCAGGGGTTCTGAGCCCGTGTCCGGGAATCCGGGAACGAACGGGGTGCGGGGTGGGGGTCCCAGCGTGCGGCACGGCCTCACCTAGCAACAGCAACTTCACCTCCCGCGCCGCCTTCTCGCCGTCTTCCCGCAGGTTCTTATCGATCATCTTGGAGCGCTCGGCCGCCGCCTTGTCCTCGGCGCTCACGGTGCACCCCATCCCGCCGTCCGCCCGGCCTGGCCGCGGTCCGGCCCCGACACGGCCCCCGGCCCGGCTCGGCCCCGCCCGACCCACTCCGCTCCCGCCGCCGGCCCTCTGCGGGCAGCTCTCGGCTCGGCAGTTTGGAGCGACTGCGGGCGGCGCCTTCCCGGCCGCCGCGCACCGACGGCGGGGCGGGCCGGGGGCGGGGCCGGGGCCAGGCCGACCCGGGACTGGGCCGGGGCGGGTCTGGAGGCGGGGCCAGCAGAGGAATGGGACCGGTGATTGGCTGCGGCGTCGGCGAGGGCGGGGCGAAGGGCGCAGCTGGGCGCAGCCCCAGCTCGGGCCCGGGCTGGAGGCGGAGTCACGCGCAGGATCCGCGCTGGAGGCAGAGCCCAGGCCGGGATTGGGCTCCCGGCGGGCTGCAGGCGGGGCTGGACCCCGATTGGGTTCGACGAGGGCGCCCGAAGCCTGGCGGCCCGTCGGCGGGGCGGGCGGATCTCGTAGCCGGAGGCGGGGGTCCAGTGCACGGCGTTGGCCCGGCAGGAACCCGCCTTCCCTCCGAGCTTCTGCCGAGCAGGGCGAGTGGAAGGGAGGCGTGACGTCGTCACTTGTTAAAGTTAATGAATCCAATAAACTTGCTACGGGATCTGAAGAACCCTGGAGCCTCTTGGAACTGTGGTTTCCTCTTAAAAAACGGAATTGCCGCCGCTCTTTGGCCCGCAGAAAGGAAGAAAGAAAAGACATCCCTTGCCCCAACACCTCTGTCCAAGCGGTCTCCCTCTGCCCTGGTACCTTCCACCAAGCGCATCCCCCCTTCCCTGGCCTGCCAGGGGGCCGCTTCCTCCTGCAGGCGACCCTCCCTCCCAGGGGGAATTCAGCCTTGGATTTGGCGACAGCAGAAGCAGAGAGACAGCGCCATGTACTTCAGGAAGCAGAGAGGTCACCACCTTATGGCCTGTCCCCCACCGACTGTGGCCACAATCCCAAGGCCTACAAACACACACACACCCCTCATGGCCTGTCCTAGTGGCTAAGACCCACTGTCTCCATCCACTCTGGATGGCAACGTTTCTCAGGGAACATTCCATGTGTTGTGAGTCTCCAGCCCCGACCTGGGAGGGTCACTTGGAGGCTCTTCTCAGGGTTACCCTGGAAAGTGGGCCTCAGATGCCTGGACTCTGGATCCAGGCAAGTCTGTGGAGTCAAGTAGGGGAGCCAGCCACCCCCATGCGTGGCCACCGGAACCCCTGACTGGTCCCCAGCCCCTCCGTTCTACCTGGCTCCAGCTCCCAGGCCTGGCTGTCCCCTCTCCATCCCTATCTAGATGGCTCTCTGGTTTGAGGAGTCCCTGGGCTGGGGGCTCTCTGATAGACCTCCCCATAACTCCCTCCTGCCTGGAACCAAAGAGCACAGAGAAGCTGCCATCCTGGCCCCCCAGGACCTGCTCTAAAATAAACCCAGACACACACTCAACCAGAGCTGGGGCCCAAACACCCACTCATAAGGCCCAGCCTCTGGCAGGCCCGGATTCTGCAGGACACACAATAAAACGGTTGCCCACAGCTAAAGCACAGCCTGTTCACGCACAGACTGCAAGCCAGGCTCAAGGCCCCTTCCCTGCTGGCCCGTGGCTGAGAGCCTTTCCTCTCCCCTCGGGCCTCCAGCCAGCTCCTAGCAACAGCCAACAGCTCGCACAGTTGCTGGGCAACAGGGAGAGCCTGTCAGCCCCTGTCAGAGCCCCAGTCTCTGAGACACAGACCAAGATACAGACCCCAATCAATAGAAGCTGGGCTGGGTGGGGCCCCTGAGAAGGATGGCCAAGCCCTGTGGTCAGACAGGGCCTCTGGCTCTCCCAGCACCTTCCTACCAGCCAGCTGCTCCCTTCCGGCCCCATGCTCTTCTAGAGAGGACAACGGCCCTCCTTTCACCCCCCTCTGTCCACCCTGACTGACAGCTGCGCTTTGCCACGTTTCCGTGGTGTCCCCAGGGCTCTGGCCACATCTCAGCCAGTCTCACACCTCTTTCTCCCGGATCTCAGAACGTGACCTCTCACCCAACTGCCAGTCCATGCCCACTGTCTTTGAAAGCCTACTCCAAACACCTCCAGACCCCTCAAATCTGCGTTGCTAAGGACTGGATACAACACACATGCACGCGCACACATCTACTAGCCCCTGCTCCTGGGCCCTAGACCTTCCCTGTCTCCCTCCTTGTCTCCTCCCAGCAGCCAGAGCTATGAGCCCTTCCCCCCACTCCTCCATCCTGCCCCTCCTCAATCCCACCTCTGCCTTCTCCAGTTCTCTCTCCCCACTGCCCACCATGGTAGGGCCCCCAGGCCCCCACCCCGGCTCTTCTGTTTCTCCCACAATCTCTCCCGCACGTGGCAGCACGGGGGATCCAGCTGAGACCACTCCCATCACTCATCACTCATGCGGATTCACAAACTTTCCACGGCTCCGGAGCCCCCCTCCTTGATAGCAATGTCCACACACACTACTCTGGAACACAGCAGAGGGGACAGTGGGCAGCAAGGGCTCTAGGGAGTCCGCTGCAAAGTTGCCGGATGTGTGGCTTTGGACGAGGATCCTGGAACTCCCTATGCTTCCCTCTTCTCACCAGTAAAACGGGCTAACAGCAATCCCGAGGAGGGAAGTAGGGTGAATGTTTGGAACACGCCTAGCCTGTGGAAAGCCCGCAGTAGGGAGGGTGCATCGTGATTATGGGAAGGGTAGAGAGGGCTGCCCCTGTCTGATGGGCCTACCTGGTCTCCCTGGACCTAGCAAGCAACACTGCTCCCCTGGGGGTTGCTGGAAAGACCCAGAGGGGCTACCGGAGCAGATACCTACACTTTAGCCTGGATGCCGGGCTGCAGTACTGTCTTTCATTGCCAGGGAGCCACTGAGTGGTTTTTGTTTTAAGGGAGCCGCAGGTGCAATAAGTCTAGGAACTCATGCCTTCTCTCCTTCAGCAAATCAGCTGACTCTCCCTGTCTTTGGGGGGCGGGGGCGGGGTCCTCCCCAGCCCTACCCCATCAGCCTGATACACTGGGGGGCGGTCCCCAGACTCCAAGGCCTTTGCTGTGCGGCACAGACAGAAGGAACTGTCAGTCCCGATGAATGACGACGAATGACAACACAGACTTTGCCCACACGCCCAGCCGTCCTAGAGCTGAGAAGGCTCGCTCAGCTGCCCCTCCAAACAGGAAAACCTTCACTATCCCGCGTGTGCAAGGAAAGGGAGAGGGAACTGTGTCCAGCCAGGCCAGGGCGCTGTATTCCCTCTCCTTAACCATGTACGTCTGAGGTGGTCAAAAGTAGACGCAGCCAACCGCTTCTTCAGGTGCAATCGGCGACACGGATTAAGTCCTTCACGTCATCGTGTGGCCGCTCACATCTTCCTTCACCCAAACTAGCAAAGACTCGCTGCCACCGGAGCGGCCTGATTCACCTCAGTGAACTTGGTTCCCAGTAGCAGGCTGCCTCTTCAGGCTCCCTCGGAGAAGCTCAGACTCCGAACTGCCGACCCTGCAGCGAGCAGGGCAGCGGTAAACAGAGCACATGACCAGGGCCTCTTTCAAGACAGACATTATTGGGGACTTAGGAAGCTCCGGTGCTGTGGGCTAAGCATCGCCTGCTCCCTGCAGGGAAAGAGAGAGAGAGAGAGAGAGAGAGACATCCGTCACCACCCAGATCCACTCTCAGGGATTCCATGGAGCAGTCCCACTCGTCCTGCAGGGTCTTGTCGTCCTCTTTTGTTTGTTTGTTTTTTAATGGAGGGCTTCAGATCTCATTTGACCTCGTTTTACAAGCCGTGCTCATTCGTGGAAGTAGCCGTCAGGAAGTCAGCGCGCACCCCTTGGCATGGCGGGGGGGCTGGGGTGGGGTGGGGTGGGGGAACATGTGGCCAACAGCCTCTTTCAAGTGTGAAAAAGGGCAAAACATCGCTTTCAGGGATGATGTTGCACCTGACCCAAGCCATGCCATTTTCCACGGTTCCTTCCATATGCAAAACCGGGACGACGGACCAGGAAGCTCGGGGGACCAGCATCTGGATCACTTGCAGGGTGGCCCAAGAGCCTTGACCAGGCCTGGGACTGCCACAAAACGACAAACCCATCCGCCTCGGACAACGCTCCTGCAGGGCCAGGATGGTGACGTTTCACGGGAATCCTTCGGGCGCAGGGGAACCAGACATCCTGCTTGGTAGAGTGGAGGGTCACCCCAGAGAGGACAAAGCTGAGGGAGAAGGATGGGCAAGTCACAGGGGCTGCAGCACTGAGCTGCAACGGGCCCAGAGGTGAGGCTGGCCCAGGGCGGGCGGTGATGTGCCCAGGAGCACAGGGTCTCACCACCAGCACCACGACCAGAAGAGAGTTGGCTTGGGACTAGTTGGAGGTTTAAGATTTAAAGACTAGCTCAGGGCAACGGTCTCAGGAGTCCCCCCGCCCCCCTGACTCCTCACACAAGTCCGATTCAGGGAGCCCTCTTGGCAGATGCCATCTGCAAAGGGCTATAGAGCAGTGGTCCTCCACCTCATGCCACGACCCTTTCATACAGCTCCTCATGTGGTGGTGACCCCAGCCGTAAAGTTAATTTCTGTTGCTCCTTCATCACTGTCACTTTGGTACTGTGACGAATCTCATGTAAACATCTGACAGGCAGGATGTATTTTCATGGTTGCAAATTGAACATAATTAAAGCATAGTGATGAGTCACAAAAACAAAATTGTAATTATATATTGTGAATTTTTAAAAGCATTTTATTGGGGGTTCATACAACTCTTATCACAATCCATCCATCCATCCATTGTGTCAAGCACATTTACATTTGTTGCCATCATCATTCTCCAAACATTTGCTTTCTACTGAAGCCCCTGATATCAGCTCCTCATTTTCCCCCCTCCCTGAAATATTTATTTCTAATGACAAATAAGTGAAGTTTCGTCTTGAAGCACGGTGTAGCATGGATAACAGTCTTCATGCCAGGTACTCATAGGTGGGCGTATCTGCATGTGGGCGGCCCGCCTGGAGGCAGATAGAAGA